AATGCGATATAAATAATTTTGTAAAACATTGTAATACATTAATCAATTGTCTTTATTTTATACTATTATGTATTTATTTAGTTTGTTCTAGGATTTTCATAATTATCTACAGCAAAGAAGAAAATCACGCTAGTTTACTAGACTTTAAATAAACATTCAGCTAGTTATTTAAGTTACAGAAATTGCATTGTTTAAAGTTTAATTGTGAGAATCTAAAGAATTCTCTATTTTGCGTTGCTTAAATCTCATTTGTTGAAAAATTTGTTAGCCACATTTGTATATAAAGAAATTTGAATGCTTTTCAATACACACCCACATGAAAATTCATTGGCTCCGCCCACAACAAGAAAATTCAGGCAAATGAGCAAAGATCTTCAGCAGAGAGATGGCATGTGTGTGTGTATGAGTAAGTATGGGTAAGCGTGTGTAAAGAGAGTGACGCCCATGCTAGGAGTCATATGCACCAATAACATGTGTGCATCAAGTCCATATAGTCGTTGTATGTAGATAGAAGAGGAAGTGTTGTATTCCTTTTGAAATTCATACAATAATTATAGGAAATAGAACCATAGAAAATTAGCTAAGGATCAGTGTAAGAATTTCTAAGCAGATTCTCTCTTTATATTTGCATACTCGCCTGCATACTCTGCCTCTCTCTCTCTGTCACTCTCTCTCTATCTCTCTGCTTAAGTATTCGTGTATTTATAGTCTCTGTGTGCTCTATGTGCGTGGCTTGAGTATGTGTGAGTGTGTGCTCTATTCACAAATACTTTGGATTTTCACTTGCAAGTGCTCTACCCTCCCACAAAAAAATCAATTTAATTGTCGATCGGTCTTCAAGGCGTACGCAACGCGTATCGGTTTAAGAAACTGAATTAAAATATAAACTGCAAGAAAAATTATTTTAAATAACGCCAAGTGGCGCCACAAAATAACCATACATATATGTTTAGTAGCAGTAGCATATATTTAGTAATATCTGCTACATCTTATATCATATATAAAAGAAGAAAATCAAAGTTCTGAAAGGATTTTCCTAAATTTCCCTTAAATATGTTACCTACATCATGTTATACAACTCCATCAGCTCTACAGGATAATGAGCAGTTGGTGAACTCTTTGCTGGCCTGTCCAGATTATCTGCGCGTCGGTCATCCTTTGGCTGCGAATGCCGTCGGAGCTGTCAGTATGGATGGATTGCCATGCAACAGTTTCCCATCTGCCTTCTATTACAATAATATGGATAGTTTTCTGGCTCTGCACAATAATATTTGGACTCTACCCATCTCCTTTCTGCACAACAATCATCGTCCGGAGAAACCGCCTTTCTCCTATATAGCCCTCATCGCCATGGCCATAAGTAGTGCACCCAATCAAAGATTGACACTGAGTGGCATTTACAAATTTATAATGGATAAGTAAGTGTGATCATGATATAAAAAATAGATAGAGAATAGATTGATATACAACATAGATACGTAGATCGATATGGAGAGAGATAACAGGCTATAAAAATATGTATTGGTATATACATGTATGCCTATAAGATTCTTGGAAAGCTCGGTTCCTATTTGCTCCTATGAATTTCAATGAACACGAAGGAATATCTATTATTCTAAATAATCCATCAAAATTGATAGCTCAATTTGGACAAACGAGAATCTCATTTAATTTTGTATTACAATATTTGAGTCTTAAGTCTTGATATTTCATACATCTAAGCTAGACTATTCTATTCTCCTATATTCTTCGAATCAATTAAAATCTTAAATTCAATTTAAATTTTAGTCCGTATTTCATCCATTTAATCAATTATAACAAAAAAAATTTAAAATATATTGAACACCTGAGATACATATGTATATAGCCTGCTTAGTCAGGTAGAACTATACATAAATCTAGTAAATAATGTTGCAAATCTTATTAAACTCAGATAGACATACATTTAACGATCAGTAGTTAAATAGCATTTTTACCATGAAAACAATTATTCAATCTACAATCGTTATATCTCAAAAACCTGCTTGCAATAGGAAAAACTGCTTTAAAGCGTAAAAATTTTTATTATACATATTATATTACATATTTCAGCCTTTTTAAACCTTTTTATTTACTTTAAATCAGGACATTAAACTGGTTTTAAATTGATTCGAAATAAAAGAAAAAATAAAAAATAATACAAAATATTATATCTAACGGCATTAAAATAGTTCAAATACCATTTTCATTTTTCTGTTTGTTTACAAGTCACATATAAATAATAATAATTCTTAATTATCTACATACATATATGCATATATGCACACAATATATGTATTTAACTTGCCATTAAAATAAACATAAAATATGGAACTCAAGTTTTGAAAATAAAAACAAATATATAGAGTATATATATATAATTGCCATTCATAAACAAGTTGAAGATGTCAAAAAGATTTTTGATTTAAATTTTGACGTCGTATTACATTTGGCGCACTTCCAGTTTGGGTCGATAAACCATACGAGATGATTAACTTTATCGGACTTTAAAGCTGATCAACAGAATATATTCTTATATATATCTTTCAGATTCCCGTATTATCGTGAGAATAAGCAAGGCTGGCAGAACTCCATACGGCATAATCTCTCGCTCAACGATTGCTTTGTGAAGGTGCCGCGGGATAAGAACACCATCGAGGATAACGATAGCGCTGGGAAAGGCAGTTACTGGATGCTGGATGCCTCCGCCACGGATATGTTTGAGCAGGGCAACTATCGAAGGCGACGCACCAGACGAAGGCACTGCTCGTCGAGCAACAATCGCTACGAGCGAGAGCCGGGCAAGGTAAGCACAACGAGTCTTCAATCAGCAATCGTTATATACTAATAAATTTCTACTCCTAGCACGATTCCAGTGCCAGCAATGATGGCAGCAATGGGGAGGTTCGATCCTCGACCGACGCCTTGGCTGACTTTGACGTCTTCTGCAGCGATGCCAGTGCAAACTCTGCTGCACTGCGTCCTAATTACTCGGATCGCATCACAGAGCTGCATCGACAGTATCTCTCCGTATCCTTCGGTTTCAACAGCCTCTTCAACAACGAACCAACGAGCAGGAGTTTAAAGGACAGCAATGCAGCCACCGACAGGCCATGCTCGAGTAGAACTGCAGAGCAGAGCACATCGGATAGCGCCTTGCGTGAAGATCTACATTCCCCAAGCGCCTTTACTCCTACGCCGGCTGGACGAGAGGCGACACTAAACGTTGACGCATTCAAAGGACTTCAACAGCTGCTCGACACGACGAATAGATCAAAGACGAACACACTCTTCACAATTGAAAACATTATTGGCAAACCATAGCAATCATTAAGAATTCTAATTAAACATGTTTTAAATCCAATAACACATGTCTAATCACTTAATTATGCGGATTATATCAGAAATACATCAAAAACCAACATTGAAGTCCCAAAGCCAAAGTGTACAATAATCAAATTTGTCGCATGTTTTTAAATCAAAATGACAATATTTTTAGGACTTTCTTTTAACTTGTTATTTTTTTTTTATTCCTCGAGTATAAAACAACTCCTCAGTTTCCCCATTAAATACATTTATTCGGGCTTCTTAGCCGAAACCTGAGACGGCTTCTTGGCCTTCGTTTGAACGGGTTTCTGGGAACGCAGGACGGCAGAGGCGCGACGCAGAGCAGCCTAAAAACAGAAAAATTGTGAAATATTAATAAAATTTTACAAAGCATAGAATATCAATATATAAATATATATCAGAAGGAATTCTCGACACGTCTATTTCAGAGATCTTGGTAGAGTAAGTTCATCACTTGGAGGAAATGGCTATATAAAAGCAATTAAAGCCGTATTACCTGCAAGTAAACAAAAAATAATTGTTCCGTTAATATTTGATAAAAAAAGAAATCGTAATTAATGGATATTTAAAAAGAATCAGTTTCAATTTTCAACACAAACCTTCAGCGATCTTGGTAGTAAATTATTCTAATATCATCACAACATAATAGATTTCTAAGAGTAGTAAGATAATACTATTTATTTATCTACCTGTGTCAGATCCTTGCGGTATTTGCTTCCGGTCAAAAGGTTCTTCAGTTTCTTCAAGGAACGACGGGGACCAGCCTTGAAGTTAACGCGCACCGTATTCTTAGCAGGACGCTGGGCATATTTTCCCTTCTTCAAGACAGTAGTGAAGCCTTTCTTATCAGCAGCGGGCACTACGCCAACAGTTTTCTTATGCACAACACCGCTGTAGCGATAAGAGCTCACATTAGCCAAGTTATTGGGCTCCTAAAAATGAGAAGACATACATTTCTGTTAGTTATACAGTTTCCTTACAATTCTCCACAAATGCTGTTTGCCAATTCTTTTGTCAGATTTACGTTACTATCATGTTGTATTCAAATATCATTGTGAATATTTATAAATTGGAAACATCATTTAAAAGAAGGGGATTATATCGAATTCAAATTCGAATTATACTAACTGTGCTGAAGGGTTTCTTCACATCGCGCTTCTTCAACAAGAAGGCGTTGTTGTTGCGAATGATCAACCAATTGAGGTGCGAAGAGGTTGCCATCGTTCGTCTGCAAGAGAGTGGAATGAAATATATTAAAATCGAATCATAAAGTTTGCCCATATGTTTTTGAAGCATTTTTCAGTCTTGGGTGATGAATATAGTCTTCAATGAACTCTTCCGCCAGATCATTCATCATTATGTGATATATTAACAAGAAGTCCAATTGAAACAATTTACGTACCTTCAGATAGCAATTGAAGCAGCAACGGCAGCAACGGACACACATGAAATAAAAGTAAAAGTAAGTAAAGATTAATAATTACTTCGCATTTACAGTATATAACATTTTTCAATTAGTGGTATCAGTCTTGGGTGATGAATATAGTCTTCAAGGAACTCTTCCGTTGCATCGTTCATCACTGTAGTTACTGTATACCATTCTTTGAATGCCACATGTGCTCACCTTTAAGTCAATAAAGATATTAAATCAGGGCAGACCAGCAGCATCGATAGACACAATATGAAAAGAGAAAATATTTCAATTACTTTTATATAAATATACATCACATGAATAGATGGCTTTTAAAAGGATTCGTCAGTCTTGGCTCACGAATATCGTCATTAAAGGAATCTTCCGCCAATTCATTCATTATGGAATAAAGTGAATTCCTAACAGCAGAAGCAGCCGCCATACACGTGTAGAGGTTAACACGAAGGTTTTACCTCGAATATAATGCACAAATGGAGCCATATCTAAGCGATACAATTCACGCCTATAGCACTTGAACATAACTACTATGTATTTATAATATTCACTACACTGTGCAAGCTATAACTTAACCAATTCAAGACATAATGCAAAATGCCCACCTTTTCTCGTTGAAAGACAAGCAGGAAAGAAATATGGCAGATACAGCGCAAAGTGAACTTGGCTGCGATTAAGCACGCAGACTTGCAATGGAACGCGTACCGATATGCATCAATTAACCATCATGCTCGGCAGCTATATCGATGTTTAGAGCCATCCCTAATTGTCAGACACATTTCCGAAGCTCTACTCGCAAAATAAAGTTAAATTACAGTTAAATTCAAGTAAAGAATTGTATTAAAACATTTCAGACAGATTTTGTTTTAGGCTGTGGTTTCTTTTTATTGTCGTATGTCCATCCAGAATTTAAACACTCGTGGTAAGCAGAGTTAAACTACACGTTTTTATTTCCCCCACTCCATACGCTCGTAATTTACACACATGCATGTGTATGTATGTGCATAAAAATGGCTGCTCACTTGGGCTAGTCTAGTCATCAACGTGAAGTAACATACATACATATGTACATACAAACATACATATTTATGTAAATGTATGGGGACGTAGGCATGCAGTACGACAGTGATTAACAGATTTTGCATGCATGCATATATGTAAATATGTATATATTTCTTTGTTTATATATATTTTAGACCCCTTTGCTGATGCAATCAAGGGCAATGATGATGACATTCAAGACGGACTCGTGCACATAAGAATCCAACAGAGGAACGGTCGTAAGACATTGACCACTGTTCAGGGCTTATCCGCAGAATATGACTTGAAAAAGATAGTCCGCTCCTGTAAAAAGGTCTTATATTGATATTAGATCTAAATTTGAGTTTAAGTAATCGAGTAAATTTCTTCTTTGTCTAGGAATTTGCTTGCAATGGGACTGTGATTGAACATCCAGAGTATGGTGAAGTTCTGCAATTGCAGGGCGATCAACGTGAAAACATCTGCCAATGGTTGACCAAGGTGGGACTCGCGAAGCCTGATCAATTGAAAGTTCACGGCTTCTAAACTAAATGCCAAGGGAGAAACAAAACGTGTGGATATCCATACAATCTTACACTACACACACACCTACACACTCATATATAAATATATTTATCTAACTTGCTAAAGTTCTTGTTCCGATTAACTACAAATCTTGAAAAAAGAAAAAAAAAAAAAAAACATTTATATAAAGAAAAGCAATAGACCATTAACTGCGAACAATGTTAATCATACAAGTTAAATAAAATTAAATGTTCATTTTAATTAAGTAACCGTGTGTATAGCATCTATCTGTAATATATAAACAAATTGGTCAATTTCAATAGTCCACAATATTTGTATTCTAACAGTTAATAACAACTAGGTTACATCGGCGTCAACTCTGAAGCCGCCATGTTGATGACGTATTTCAAAAAAATATCGAAAGATACGATACCCATGAAAGTCAATTATTATTTATATTTAATACAGTTTACTACCATGGTGTTTTTTAAGTGAGCGTTAAATAATTAAAAAACTAAAAGAAAAATTTGCCGTCGAAAGTAGTGCATATTGCAGATTAATCGATATTGTTGTGTTCAAATTGTATTTTTTATATATTAATATAATTTTAGTTTTACTAATATTAATTAAAATCAGCCAAAATTTAGTAGAGATTAAAATTGTATAGAAGCCAGATCACATAATTTAACGGGCTACTGCCCGTAAATATGTCGAATTAATTAATTAGCTTAACGTCGACCATCTATTATCGATATATTTTGAGCCATCGTACTTCAATTACTCTTTAACCAAAAACTGTCATTGTCTATCGCTCAACCACCACAATCACACATTGTAGTTTTGACGGCAGCAGCAAAAATTGTAACTCACAATTTAATTTATTTAATTCATTAGATGCACAAATTAGGCTGTGTATTCCATTAATTTTTGTTCGTAAAAAATCAAAACGTATTATTTTGTGTACGCGGACTACAGGGAACATCTAGAATTTCGAATAGCAATAGCAATCGCAGTTGCAATCGCTACGAATGCCCTAGCCAGAACCACTGACCAAAGAACACATAGATGAGACATGTAGAACAAACTTTTTCACCACCGAAAAAATGTGCATGCGGGACTACTCAACTTCGTAGTTGCTCGGCTCCGTCTCTTACGGCTCGAGCAGTGAAAATACAACACTACAAAGTCAGTTCGTTGCGAGCGCTGAAACGAGACATTACGATGTATCCCCGCTATGTCTTATTTTATTTTTTCTTACCTTCTCTTTCTGTTTCTCTATGCTCTCTCACATGTACATACGTATGTATATGTATGTACATATGTGCAGACACAATCCAGCAGCGCACAAAAATTAAATTTTGTTCGCGACGATCCTATTTTCCCTTCTGAGTGAAGGGAATACCGAACTCTTAAATGCCCTTGTCGTGCTCATGCAAAATGTTTAGATTTTTATTATTAATAGTATAAAGGGTATGAAAGCGCTGGTGCGCATAAATAATAAGTTTTTGCTTACATGCGCTTGTGTGCCTGTGTACGAATATTGCCTTNTATATTAAGTTCTCATAATTCATTTCCAACGTTCCAACCCAGCGCCACTAAATTACGTGTGCTTTACCATCGATAATAACAGAAATAGCATTCAAAATAGTTATAGATTTAAAAACTATAAGAAAATCTAAAACTCTATCGCCATTCAATATTCAAAAAGCGTGCGCCTGTCCTGCATTTTTTTTCCTCTTTTTTTTTTTTTTTTTTTTTTTTTTTTTTTTTTTTTTTTGTTAGCTTCGCTTTCTAGTTGTCAGTTGATTTTTGTATGTTTTTCGCCGCATGCAACCGTGCCAACATTTGGTGTATCGAAACGTTTGACAAAAGGAACGGGCGAAAGTTTTTCTATAACGATGAGACGTCAAATTTTTGGCTTTATAAAAAAATTTTCGCGTGACGAGTTCGTTGTCGATAATAACTAAATAATATTATTGGAAACATTTGCAAATATCAATTGTTTCATTTAAACGACTTTTGCTGGTGCGGCGGTGCAACTGAGACGTGAGAAAATAACAAAAAAATCAATTGCTGGTTCGGTACTCGGGCTAAATTCAATTTTAATTCTGCGTATATTTGAGTGCAAAAAAAAAAAAAAAAAACAGCCAAGGGAAGGAGACAAAGAAGAAAAGCGAAAATAGCCACGGAAAAGAAAACTAAATGAGAACAAAAATTAAGTCATTGAAGCCACAGACACAGAAAAGTAGACGACGACAACGACGGTCGAAGTTGGAAGAAAATGAGGCACGAGCCGAGATGAGAATATGAGCGAAGACTGCAATTGTTCAGCATTATAAATAAATAAATATAATATTGAGCAAAGGAAGAAAGGAATATCGGTGCAGATTATCGCGTGTGTGTGTGCATTTCGCGTATCGTAATCAAGTTTCATGCCACAAGAATATATTTCAAGTGAAAATCAAAAATTTCCAACTAAAAAAGCCTCAGCTGGGTGGCAGCAGCCGCAGCCGCAACAAGGCAACGTGTGCATGTGTGCGTATGTGAGTGCGTGAGTGTGAATACGAGTGTGTGTGTGTGAGTGAGCGAGTGCAAGACTGTGTGTGTGTGTGTGTGTGTGTGCGTGCGTGAGTGTGTGTGCCGTTTGTGCAAGTTTTTGGGGTCTGTCGGGTGCTCGTTTTTGAAAGAGGAGTTGAAAATAGAAGAAGAAGCGAGTTGTGTCTTTAACTGTGTTTGTGTGTGAGTGTGTGTGTGTTTGTGTGCCTCTGTGTGTGGAATTCTTGATAATTCCCCAACATACGTTACCATGGAATATTACCTAGGTTAGTAGAAATTGCACTACTCAATTTGTAAATTAAACATTATGCGGGACTACATACATATGTATAATACACGATAATTTACCAATACAATGGAACAAACAGTGCTCCGCACTTTTACACATAAATGCATGTGTATGCATGTATGCATACGTATATGTACCCATATATAGGCGAGTACATAAGAAGATATACATACATAAGCGTATGCTGCATTACTTTAAGGTGAGGCCAAAACGCAAAAGTTTTTGCAGCAGCCACGGTTGCCCCCCCTCCCCACGCCCTTCCCCTGTTTTGTGGTTATGTTTAGGATCAAATTAGCTGGCGGCGACTGTTCACTTATTTGTTTTTGCAATCAACTTGCTCAAATAAAAACATGCATACATACAGATTTATATATATATTAGTATATATATAAATTAAATCCATAAGAAACGCGTCTAGCCAGACAATACGAATCATATTGAATTTGCCCGATTAGATCCTCTGCTTCCAATTACATTATATCCTTTGTAAAGCAGAAAATTGGGATATATGGAGCAGCCTCTCAACATTATACAATAAAATAAAATAAAATAAATAAATGTGCTCTTAATCAGGTATACCCACTAAGCAGTTTTTAAAAACTATGTATTTTCATTCTCTTTCTGATTACATCTTACTAATTTCATTTACTCTCGCCAACTTGCAGGAGGTTACGTCTATATGAATGGAGATGCAGTCAAAATTCAACCGCCTGTTTATCCCAATGTTCCTGTTGAAACGGCTATGTTAGCCACAAATCTGTTTGGTACCACAACCCAAATTGCAGCTCCGCAACCAGCAGCAGCAGCCGCTCACATACCGTTGATCACAGCCGCTGCAGCAGGAGCAACAGGAGTAACAGGAACAGTAGCAGCACCACCAACAGTACAGCCCGCGCAGCATCCACAACAACAACAGCAACCACAACAGCATCCACATCAGCAACAGCAGCAGATCATCTCTCATACGCACGCCCACGCTGTGGCAGTTGCCGCTGCAGCTGCCGCACAGCAACAACAGCAATCAACGCAGACCATCCAAACGGCAGTTACGCCGGGCCAAGTGCATCTGCAGACGCACCCAGCACAGCATTTGCAGCAGCAGCAGTACGGCCACCATCCGGCTCAGCAGCCGACGCTGCCGTCCAGTGGCGATAGCATTCAGGCAAATCACGCAATCGACAATACTGAATACGCCATCATGAATGGAGCCATTGCTCAGACTCAAGATGGCAACCTGGTCTGCTATACAACAGAGGCCCTCGTACCTGGCGTAAACAATACGAATTTAGTTGCACTCGAGCAGCAGCAGCAGCAACAGCCAGAACTTATCCCACAACAGCAGCAGCTCGCCGCTGATGAATGTGGAATGCCATTGGACAAGCTAAAGCAGATGCTGGCCACACAGCTGGACTACTACTTTTCCAGGTAATAAACGAAATTATATTCCCAAATAATGTATGGAAACTAATTGGAATTTATGTTTACAGAGAAAATCTGGCAACCGATACTTATCTGCTGTCTCAAATGGACAGCGATCAATATGTGCTCATCAAGACAGTGGCCAATTTTAATCTTGTTAAGAAACTAACAAAGGACATAAATTTGATTACCGAGGTGCTGCGCGAATCACCCAACGTCCAAGTGGATGATGAAGGTTTGCGCGTGCGCCCCAACCACAAGCGTTGCATCATCATTTTACGTGAAATATCCGACAACACACCACTCGATGACGTCAAGGTAAACGAGCGAACAATCGAATCTACTCATCCAGAAATCAAATTTTAATTACGACTTTCATATCATTCACATTTGAATTTGAATATTGATGATTATGACTACTCCAATACATAGTAAATGTAGATGTTGACTGCTTGTACTTATATATTACATCTATATGCTAATTATAATTTCTCAGCTGAGCGTATATACATCATATAATTAGCGTACACTAATTATAAATTATATTGATGACACATCTGTAACTCATTCAAATTATCTTTATGTCTTACAGGCGCTGTTCAGCAGCGAGAACTGCCCACGACCCATTGCCTGTGAGTTTGCAGCGAATAACTCCTGGTATATCACATTCGAATCGGATGAGGATGCCCAACAAGCTTTCAAGTATTTGCGAGAGGAAGTCAAAGAGTTTCAGGGAAAGCCCATAATGGCGCGCATCAAGCCCAAATCGTTTATCAATAGAAGAGCTACTGTACCAAATATCAAAAACGGGTTTCGTCTCAATTCACCGCCAACGGCCACAGTGTATGACCCGGCAGCCGCAGCAGGAGCTGCTGCGGCCGCCGCTGCTGTTAGCTACAGTGCGGCACCACAACGTTTCGTCTATGCGCCCAATGGTGCGCCCTTAACGACAGCTGCGGTACCGTATAACACACAGGTGTTGATTGTAAGTGGTGTAATCGAAAAAATGATGTATTCATCTAATGTCTCCTTAATCTCTTCGCAGCCCTTTCAGCAGCAACAATTCTATACAGGGCTAATGGCTGCTCCGTGGCAACCGACCACCGTAGCAGCAGCCACAGCGGCGCAGGGCCAAAATTTTTATGAATTTGGTGGCAATATATTTGCTGCCAATGGCCTGGCACCGCAGGCCGTTGCCGCCAATTTCGCAACTGCACCACCGCCGCCTACCCCACAAATTGTCAGCAACAAGCCGCAGGGCGGCGGCGGTGGTGGTGGCGGACGCTACAACAGCAATCATCGCGGCAATCCTAACAATCTGAGCGGTGCTGGAAGTGGAGGACCACGTGGCGAGCCGCGCTCGAAACCACCGCGCAATACCCAGCAACCGCAGCAGACTCCATCACATAATATTATAATGCCGACTGCTGTACGTGTGGTGCCAGCTGCCGTACTTGATCCACTCCAGCAAGTACCTCTCCAGCAGCAGCAACAACAACAGCAGCAGCAGCAGCAGGTGCAACAGCAGCACCAGCAGCAACCTGCAAGCCAGCAGGTGCAGCAGCAGCCGCAACAAATGGTGGCTACCAATTCAGCTGGCTCCGCGCGTTATCCAGTAAAAAATAACTGGAAGGGTGGCATGCAAAAGAATCTGGATAAGAACTATGGCAATCATTACCACTACAGCAGCCAGGTGCCAACTATACCCAGCAGCCATACTCACCATCAGTCACAGCAGCAACAACAACAACAGCCACAAGCCCATTTTATATTCCCAGCGGCCAGCACGACGCACTCCACCTATGCGGCTAGCTCACAGGCAGCGCTCACACCGCAGCCTAGCCAGCAGCCACAGCAGCAGCAGCCACATCACCCACATATGGTGGTGCATGCGGCTCAGCCCGTTGAGCTGCAGGAGGCAACGGCCAATGAAAATGTTGTTGTGGAACACGCAGCCACCTCGCAGCACGGTCGAAGCAACATGTCAGCCAGCTCCTCCTCATCGCTGGCCACTTCCATCGGCGGCAAGGATGCGCCGCAGCCGATGCATTGGCAAACGCGGCCGAGACGCCGCCGACGTGATGAAGATGGCAACGCCCTCAATTATTCGCCAGGCGGTCGTGTTAATGTAAGAGTGCAGGAATATCTGACTATGCATCCATTTACGTAACGTATTGTCTTTTGTTTTTTACACAATTTAGATATATGGTGGTTCGCAGCAGCAGTTGCTCTCCTCATCGTCCGCCTCATCCACAAGCAACGTGCAGTCGACGAATCGCGAGAGTCACTATAACACTCATGAGTCKCAGCAGCAGCAGCAACAGCCGGCACCGCCCCAGCATCGCGGGAATTACAAAGGCAACAATTACAATCCCAACTATCATGCTCAGCAGCATGCGGCATCCATGGCGCATCACCATCATCATAGCAATCACAATCATAGCGCACTGCCGTCTCAGCAACAACAGCAGCAGCAGCAACATCATGTGCCTGCTGCACAGCAGAGTTCGGGGCATAATTATCATCATCATCACCATCATAACTCGATCGGCAGCAATGTGGGCAACAGTGGCGGCTTAAGCGTTAGCAACAGCAGCAACAATAATAACAGCAACAACAATAGTGGAGGAAACAGCAACAATATGTCGAACAACATTGGATCAAGTAACAGCAGCGGAGGAGGCGGTGCTGGCAGCAACAGTAGCGAGCGTGGCGGATTGCATCATGGTATCAGCATGGGCTATCAGGGTCACAATTCGCATCAGCAGCAGCTGCAACAGCAGCAGCAGCAACAGCAACAACAACAGCAGCAATCAGCTGCTCCCGTACAACCGCCACAATTTGATTTGGAAGCTGCAGCTTTTCCGCCACTGCCTGCGACTTCGGCTCCGGCACATGGAGCTCACCATCATCATCAGCATCATCATCATAGTAACCAGGCTTCCATRCATAGCTCTAACAGCAACAACTCTACGGCGAGCGGCGTAAGCCACAAGCCGCCTCCAACTCAAGCTCATCAGCAAGGTCAGGCTGTAGCCGAGTGCAGTGGAGGAGGAGGCGAAGAACAGCGATCAAGCAATCATCCGAATACGGAGAGCAATGCTAACAGCAATACCTCCGGCAACTCGTCAACGGCTGTTGCTGCACCTACAGCTGCAAGCGGCAATTGGGCAACTGAGAATCGACTCGCCGATGTCGTACGCACGGGCAATAAAGGCAACAAGGGACGCAAGGATGCTGCAGCTGCTGCTGCTGGAACACACAACAGACAACAACAACATCACCAGCAGCAGCAGCAACAACARCAGCATTTGCCTCAGCACTATCAACAGCAGCAGCAACAGCAACAGCAACGTAATCTGGCCATTAGTCCCACGCCAGCAATGGCCGTGGTGCCGGCTGAGGAGCCGTCACGCCCCTTGGGCAACAATACTAAAAACTTTACTAAGCAGAGCTCTAGTAATAACCCGATCCATGTGATAAAGTGTATAACACCAAATATCAATGCCAGCAACAAGGCGACGACAACAACAGCTGGTGCTGTTGGAGAAGATGGAGCAGGAGCCGGAGCGGCAGCAGTAGCAGCCACTGCTGCTACTTGTGGTGCTACTGTTGGCGCTGATAAATCAAACAAGACTGAGGATGAGTTACATCCAATACACGGCAACAAGCAGCAACCGCGCTTAATCGAGGGCTATGGCCAACAGCAACAGCAACAACAACAACAGATGACAAATGACTATGGGCATAATGTATCGATCTCGGGCGCTGGCGCCTGCCTAAACGAGTTGAGTCTGACCAGCCAGCACCACAAGAAGCAGCAGCAGCAGCAGCAACAGATGCCCGCTGCCACCAAAAAGGAGCTCAATAAGGATGCCAGCAAACACAAAAGTGTCGCAACCTCCACTTCAAACTCCGCCTCCACTAATTCAGTGTCAACGGAGAATATTGCAGCAGCAACAGCTTCCAAGCTGAGCTATGCACAAGTGGCACAGCATCACAAGGCCGCCTCGGATAGTAAAGATGGAGGCGCTTTATCTCCTACAACCACGAGCCACAAGCTCGAGTTAGTCTTTGGTGATGCCGTCGATAAAATCGCAGTGACTGTTACAACGGACAAGCGTTTGGCTGCAGCTCCAAATGCCACGCAGGTGGGCAAAGGCTCTTCAGGCGGAGCTGTTGCTGTTGCTAACAAAGAAAAGGGTATATATAATATATAACTATTTATAATAGAGCCGATACATATAACTAACGATCTTTTTATTGTAGACACTGCTCATTCGCGCGAGTCGCGTTCAAATGCAGCGCAGGTTGCCGGCACATTGCGTCCGCAGAGCAAGGAGAAACCATCTCAACAGCAACAACAACAACAGCAACATCAGCACTACGGATCTGGYTCATCCGCTGATCATAATACGAACACCGGCGGCGGTGGGCGTAAATCAAGAGCCAATAACTCTTAAAAGCAAAGCAAGTCGCCGAATCCGCGACAAATGTGAAATCGAAATCTTTGCTAGCTTTGATGCAGTGTATATATATTTTTATAGCTGTATCATTAAAAAGCTAACCCCATCATACAACTATACCCCCTTCTGTACATAAATTCCATGTGTAAATACAAGCAAACGCCGTTTTTTGTTATATATCTATAAGCGCATATAGATATATTTACGAGCTAACCAAGGAGGCATATATAAGGTTAGTGTTAATATATAACCGCATTATCAAGTAATATTTCAGGATTCTTTCTTTTTACAGTTGTCGTCGCGCTACAGTGATTGAAGGGCGACCAGCTTGGACCAGTTATCATATAATATTATTAAAGAGTAGGCAAAGGAATAATGGTGCATAACATTAATGAAAACAAACACACAGACTCACTCACTCACACACACACACACACACTACTCCTATACAGTTTATATAT